ATGATATGGAGTTTCACTAGTCATATGTTCATATGTGAACATAGCAAAGTTATATCCAGTTCATTCTAATGTTTTCCACCGATTTTTTAAGATTTGTTGTTTTAAAGTTTGAGATTATGCTGCAAAGGAAGACAGCAGCAGTTGTCCCAGGCCCACTTTCACTTCTGACACCAGCCTCAAGTCTGAGGGTCCCCATGATTACCCTCAGGCTCAGCAGTTCACTAGGACATCTCAGTTCACTGAAAGCTGTTCCACTCTTGACTGTGGCTTCTAAGAGAAATAGGGTACATGTCAAAATCAGCCACAAGAAGAGGTACATGGGGCAGAGTCCAGGAAAGTGTTAAGCACAGAGCTTCCAGTTATCTTCTCCAGTGGAGCCACAGGTAGAACGGTACTCCCCTCAGTGGTATGGAGCATTATGTGCAAGGGAGCTCACCTGTGTCTTGGTGTCCAGAGTTTTTGTTGGGATTTAGTCACATAGATGTGGTTAATTGCCACATGGCTGACCTTAGTCTCCCGGTTCTCTGGAGGTTGAGCTATTACCATGAGGCCCAGAAGCCCCCATGATAAGTTACAGTGTTAGACTATCTAGCATGGCCCAAGGCCTCCCAGGTAAACAGAGATACTTACCATGGGGGACATCCCAAGTGCTAAGAAAGCATTCTCCAGGAGCCAAGGACAAAATGTAGCCCTCCCTCTGGAGAAGACTAATGGTGTAGTGCATGCCACTGCACACACACTGAGGCAAGCTCCAAGAAAGTAGGGTCTAAGGTGCTCTGTGCTTTCTGATAGCTTTAGAAACTTTTTAACAATAAGCCCTAGAGTAAAAGTAAACTCATTCATCAGGTCTGACTTCCTGACTGAACCGAAAGATAACATGCTTACTGTACAAATAAGTGCTAAGTGACTTGACCAATGTCAGGCAGCTGGCAAACAGTGGGACGGCTTTCAACCACAGACTCTTCTTGACCCTAGCGCTCCAAATAGGGCTCCTCTTCCAAGGTGTGTTCTCACCTTGACCAAGTCAATAGTGAGGCTGGGGAACAATTAGTGTTTATTACTTTGTCTAGACTTAATACTTCTCTTGAAGGAAAATTAAACAGAAATTAATTTGCTGGGATTCTCATGAGTTATCCCTATCACATTTGAAAACCAGTTTTTCATTACAACATTAACATGGATGAGTTTCTAGGTTGATGGGCAAAAGAAAGATCATTTTGTTTTTACTGTTTTAGGTCAGAATAGCAACGTTGGAAAGTTAAAAACACTCTCTGGGGCTCTGGATATCATGGTGAGGACTGAGCATGCATTCCAGCTCATCCGGAAGGAGCTTGTAGAGGAATTTGACCAGGTAATGAAGAAAATCACCATTTTTATGTGTCTTATGCTAAATGGTGAATGTATATATGATCATATGGCATTCTTATAAATGTGTCTGTACACACCTACATGTGTGTGTACATATATGCTCTGCATAAAAACATTTTAAGAGTGGTTTGTGTATGTCATAGTCTGTCTTGTATTGCTATAACAAAGTCCTGGAGGCTGGGTAACTAACAAAGAAGTATTTGTGGTTCATAGTTCTGGTAGCAGAGGGTCCAGACAGCATGGCACTTTTGTCCTAGCAAGGCCCCCCTGGCTGTGTCACAACATGTTGGAGAGCCAGAAAAGGAACTCAACCTGTACTGAAGGGGCCAAGGCACGAGGTGGCTGCTTTCTAGTAGCCTGCTCTTGTGAGAACTAAGCCTATTCCAGGACACCTGACCCACTTCTGAGAGAAGGCATTAATCCCTTTGTAAGGGTGGAACCACATGACCTAGTTGCCTACCACTGGACTGCACCTGTTAAAGCCTTGCCAGCTCAGCACCACCACCTGGAGACCAACCCACTCCAAGGGTGAACCATAGAGGTTATGTCTTCAGGGTAGAACTAAAAATTTTGAATCAGTTGCAAGTATATCTTTTATGTATTAAAAGTTTTTTAAGACTATGCTGTATTGATTAGCAAGTTATAAAGGCTCTTCAGCTTTTCTGTTTGGGGTTTATTTTGGTTTTGTTCTTTAAGAGAAAGAAAAAGCCTGAGCTTCTTTTCATAATTTCCACTATACTTCCTGGAACTTTTGAATGGTGAATGGCTTAAACAGGCTCCAGGGGAAGGAATTTCTAGTTTTCTGGTCAATCTAGAACTCAAGCTGCCCAGAGAGTCCTGGGTAGTGTCCTTTCTGCCAGGTTCCTGCAAGGAATGATGCTGGGGAGTCAGGAGCTTGTTGTGCAGGGTTAAGCACTTGGTAGGTGTGGGACACGTTTATTATGTGTTTTCCTGTATCAAAATGATTTCAGGTCTGCTTTTTATTTTGTTTTGGGGTTTAAATTAATGGATAAATGAAACTGCAGTTTTGTCATTTTGATATGAAACTACAGTTGCTGGATAGCTTAGTGAAGTTTCATTTTGTTGTTTTTAGCCTAAGGGTGGTGAGACCAGTCCAGCTGCTGATTCTTCTCCTAGTCTTAACAGAGAAGAAGTGATCAAACTCCTCAGTATATTTGAATCTCGATTGTCCTTCCTCCTCCTCCAGTCCATCAAACTGCTGTCTTCAACTAAAAAGAAAACAAGGTGAATTACATGGTTATTTGTGAAAACTTTTTTCTCTATGAAAAGAATATGAATAATCTCAACTGACATTGTAAAGAAATGGTTGTATCCTTTCTTGTCTTTTATTTGGAAAATTCATGATTTTAAGTGGTATTCCTTCTTAACTTCTTCAACTAGGTGAGAAGTGTCTCCATCTGGCCCACTACATGTCAGTTATATAGCTGGAAAAGTCTTGCTGCCTAGGGGTAGATACCCTATGGTGATCTGTTCCATTGAAAGGATGAATGGCCCTGAGCTGAAGACTCTAGATATTCCAGATAATACTTCTAAATGTCATCTTTAGTGAGAAGTCCGGGCTGTAGTTGGCTACTCTGGGTGAATTGTACCATAAAAGGAAATGGCAATGGTGTAGGCCTGTAATCCTGGCAACTTGGGAGGCTGAGACAGGAGAAGCACAAATTTGAGACCAGCCTCAGCAATTTAGCAAAACTTAAGTAACTTACCAAGACCCTGTCTCAAAATAAAAAACTAAAAGGGCTGGAGATGTGCCCCTGGATTCAATCCCCAGTAGCCTCTTGCCAAAAAAGAAAAAAAGATGGGAGAACACTGCAGTCCCTCTAAAGCCAGGAAATTGGGAGAAAAAAGGAGTGAACACCTTGGCCAACATGTTCCCAGGTCCCTCTGTCATCTTGTGCAGACATGGGTTTGCCCGAGCTTTAATTATGAAAGTATTGACTTAATTTGAAATTGCAGTAAATCAGAAAGATAGTGGGAATAGTGTACCTTTCTTCTTAAAAATATAAGTGCAGTCTGGCTTGTATTACAAAAATTGGAAAATAGAGAAAAGAACTCTCCCATGCATCCATTGTTAGTTATCCTATTTATGTTTACCAATTTATGATATAAGGGTACCGATAATTTTTATCTTTTATTTACAGTGAAATTCTGTGTGGTATACAGTTCTTTGAAGTTTAATGAGTACATAGATGTATGGCAGTCATATTTGGGACACAGTACCATTCCTTCACTCCAAAACCTATTTCTCTGCTGAAATTATAGGTCTGACCTTGAACAAGACCACATTTTCATTGGAACCTTAGACATAATTGACCATTGTCATTTACAGTCCTCTGTAAGCAGTTCCCACCTTGTCATCTGAGTCTGGTTCCGTGGCTCCTTCCTCTCTTGCCAGGATGCTGTTGCCACCTTTCCTTTCACAAACTGAATTATTGAAAACCAAACATCTTGTGTCAGTCAGGAGAGACTGGGGGAAATAATTAGTTTGTCTGGAAAGTTCTTATATCTTTGACCTGCTAGGCCGTTGGTGAGGAGAATTGAGTTCATTCTGTAGCCTGGAGCTGAGCTGCGGTTAGGATTTTTTCTTGTCATGATTATTACGCATATGTCACAGGCTTAGTTCTAGCAATGTAATAGTCCCCTGTTAGCTGTAGTTCCCCTCACTGAGATTTGTTTACCCATGGTCAGCTGTGGTGCCAAAATACTAAATGGAAAATTTAAGAAGCAAGTCTTTGCACAGCATTCTGAGTAGCATGATGAACTTTCATACTGTCCCATCAGGACGTGAGCTGTCCTGTGCCCAGAGTGTGCATATGTGTGCACTTCCACCCACTGATCATTAGCAGCCTCCAGTCATGAGTTTCTCTGTTGCAGTGGCTATGCTTGCGTTTCAGTCACTTAGATTACATAGTAATGACTCAAAGCTCAACAGTAGCTGTGGTGGCAACTCAAGATACAAAGAAAAGTCTAAGGTGAAAAGGTGATATAGTTCTTGACTTAAGAAAAAGTAGGTCTAGGTCGAGGCAGCTGAGGTCTGTGCTCTTTCTGTGCCTAATTTATAATATACACAGGTGTGTATATATAGAAGCAAACGTGGCATATGTGGGGTCAGTACTGTATATACTTTCAGGCATCTACTGGGGGGTCTTGAAAAGTATCCCTAGATAAGGGGAAATGACTGTACCTGGCATTTAGAGTGGGTCAGGTCTGCAGGGGTGGTTCTCAGTGTCTGTTCCACTTGGAGCGATAGATCATCCCTGCATGCTGCACCTGGCAGAGTGCCTCTCTACACTGTCACGGCCTTGCCAGCTATATTCCACTGACACTTGTCCTTTGGTGCTTGTTAGTCTGTTTGGGAAAGGAGGGGACCAGTTGGCCAGACTTCTTAGTTGTTTGGGGTGCACCTCAGTCTTGGCAGACTTGTTGCATTTGAATCATTCTCTGTAGCCTGAGGAGCGCTCTTCTCTGGGGAAGTCTCAGTGTAGAGTATACTGCCATCTCACTCAACCCTGTGGGTGATCTTCAGTGTCTGCCACAGCAGGTCCTGGTACACAGTAGGGTGTGCTGATGTGTTCAGTGAAGTTGACAGATAAATCCATCTTTTCAAAGAATCAGAAAGGAAAGTAGATAGTGCATGTAGTGACACACAGTTATTAATATTCTGTTGAAGACAGTTTATAATTTAGAGTTTCATGCATGATACATAAAGTAATTAGAAAATTTGGGATTTTTTTTTTTTTTCAGATTTATTAAAGACTGTTAAATGTTGTTACAGCAAAGCTGAGTACAGTGGCGCACACCTGTAGTCCCAGCCGTTGGGAGGCTGAGGCAGGAGGATTGCGAGTTCAAAACCTGCCTCAGCAAAAGTGAGGCGCTAAGCGACTCAGTGAGACCCTGTCTCTAAATAAAATACAAAATAGGGCTGGGGATGTGGTTTAGTGGTCGAGTGCCCCTGAGTTCAATCTCTTTACTTGAAAAAAAAAATGTAATTACAACAAATATATCGAAGGGTTAGAAATAGAACTTTATTAGTCATTAAGTCAGTGCCTCTTTCTGTCTCACTTCACTAAACAGGCAAGTAAAACCTCTGATTCTGTGTGAAGAGGCCTCCTGCGCAGGCCTCGTTATTCCACAAAGCAGTGTGGATCCCCTCGGAGATGAAAGGGAAATAAGAATGAGACCTTAAAAGAAAAGAAACATTAATTTGTTTCATTTTGACTGCTATTCATCTCCAGCCCCTAAGGGAAGAAATAAAAATAAAAAGCAAATTGGACATAATAATAAGAAATCCCAATTTTCTTAAATTGCTACAGAATTACAGTGAAATCTAAGAAAATTAAGATGCATTTAATTTGTTCAAGAATTTTTATTTTCAGCTCATGAAGGTACTTCATCATGTGTCAACTGCGTTGGCATTGTCCTGCTAGAATAATAGTTCATTAGGGTGTGGGGGGTCTGATTTGTTGTTTTTCTTTTTGGATTAAGAATTTATTTGCTCTTATACTGTACTTTTATATTCATTGCTTTAGAGAAAGAGACCTCTTGACATTTTGGTGGCTTTGGGGTTTAATTTAATGAAAAAAAAAACATGAAAAAGTAGAAGTAATCTCTGCCAATGACACCTGAAGAGAATGGATTCAGGAAGGGCATGATTTGTAGAAACTAAGAGATGAAGATCTAAGATGTAGAAGTACCATCTGAAGAAATCAAAGGGTTTAGAATTTGATCCCAGTGACCATCAGTTACCTTTAGGCACCCAGCTAAAGTAACCAAATGATGTTATTGTCCTCAAAAAGTAATTTATATTTCAAATGCCTTTTCTTATTGTTAAATGCTATTGCCTGATTACTGTCAAAAATAATGTGCATTTCCTATAAGGTTATCAGGAGTTCTGATTAGTAATACTCCCCCCTCCAAAAAAAAACAAAAAACTAAAACACAGCCAGTCTTAAGTCCAAGCACAGACAGTGAATGAATTGTGACTGGTATGCTGTGGCAGGGTTGGGGGAAGAAAGACTTTCCTGATACAAAGAAGTGGGAATTGGAAGGGAGGAATACCAGGGGGTAGCCGGACTGCGGAAGAGGGATGAATGGAGCCTGGAACCTAGGAAAGAGAGGAACCTGACAGCCAGGCTTGGTGGGGACGGCACTTTAGCACCAAGGTGCTCTCTTTGGCGGGCCCAGAGGTCTCTTGGGCGAGGGGAGAGAATTTTCACAGTAGGAAGGAGAAAGAACACAGCATTAGAAATTGGGAAACGAGCCCTGCATGGTGGCACATGCCTGTAATCCCAGCAGCTTGGGAGGCGGAGGCAGGAGAATTGGGAGTTCAAAGCCAGCCTCAGCAACTTAGCAAGGTCCTAAGCAACCTAGTGAGACCTGTCTCAAAAGACAAAAAGGGCTGGCGATGTCACTCGGTGGTTAAGCACCTCTAGGTTCCATCCCTGGTACCAAGCGGGAAAAAAAGGTGGGAAACATGACATTTTGACCCTGATCCAAATTGTCAACTTTTGGGGGCCTTATCTTTTACGGTAAAATCAAATCAGTCCTTGCTTTGCGAGGGGCAATATTGTCCTGTGGAGGTGTGTCACATTTTGCTAGGAGCCGTGAAACTGCTGGCTTGTGAGCTGGGTCTCTTATACATGTAGATGCATTAAAAGGAGGGTGGCTAGAATTGAACTGCCATGTAATTACTAGTCTTGCATCTCATACATTAATCCATTATAAGGGGTAAATATTTTCAGAACCAATTAAACTTTTACAGTGGAGTGGTATAATATGTACCTCAGTGGAGGAGCATCTTCACCAGAAGGTGCACCAGTGTCCTTAGACAGCATGGAGGTGCTGCCATCCTGTGACTCTGCTCGATGTCCTAGGTGGCTCCAATGCAAGAGCTGGCGTTCTGCAGTTGGTTCAGAGTAGAGGAGACAGGAGTGGTGGCGTAGGCCCATGATACCAACTGCTCAGGAGGTTGAAGTGGGAGGATCATGAGTTTTAGGCCAGCCTGAGCATTTTAGGAAGCCTCTGATTTAGAACAAAAGGGCTGAAGGTACAATTCAGTGGTAGACTGTGTGTGAGGCCCTAGGTTCAGTCTTCAATACTGAAAAAAAAAAAAAATACATAGTAGAGGAAAGCCATCTGGCTTCCCAGTGCCCTCAACCATATCAACTCTGTTTCTTTTAGGGGATGTGACAGTCGTCTGCCACTGTCTGTTTTGTTTTCTTCTGGTGCTGGAGGTTGAACTCGGGTCCTGGGGCATGCTAGGCATGCACTCCACCTCTGAGCTGCATCCCCAACATAGTTGTCCACTGTACATCTTCTCCCAGTGTCCCACCACCACCCCTCACACAAAACAGGGACTTTTGTCCATTTGGTTCACTACCAAGAGCAGTTCCTGGCAGAGGACGTGAACAGATAAAAGGCTTTAACTCAGTTTTAGTTGATGTATTGACATGAGTGTCAAGACAGGTCTAGGAACAGAAGATAGACGGTAGGTATGGGGAGGCACTGGGAGACCTGCTTCTCTGTGTAGCACCACTGCTGTGCTGTTACTGTTTTCAGATCCCTTTACTGTGCCCTTCACCTGTTCTTTTTTTTTTTTTTTGGCGGGGGGACCCCAGCAATAACATTGAAGAAGATGGACTTCTCAAATCCAACAAGCAAATTTACTCCCAGCTTTTGAGAGCTACTGCAAACAAAAGTGCAAGTCTTTTGGAAAGAATTGATGTCATCATCCATTTGCTGGGGCAGCTTGCTCATGGGGGCAGCGGAATAAGCAGCGGCGCCGTTCAGTGACCTCGCGCAGAGCTGCGTCTGCAGACACGCTGACAGTGCCTTCTGACCACAGGAGTGGCTTTGTCCATTCGGTGCTGAGTTTCATTAAATGTGAGGAAATACCCATTTGAAACAGGCATGCACTTATTTCTCATGACAGAGAGACAATGGCGGAGTTCTTTGGCTTCTTCGTTTGAAGTGCTAAAGCCAGAACTGAACTGAAAGCTTCAGCTTTTATTTCTATGAGACGTACATGGTACCTCAATATTAATAGACTTTCTGTTATGCAATTATACTTTCAGATATTTTTGAAGTATCTTGGATAACAAAGGTTTAAGATATTATTTTGGATAAAATGTTGCTTCCACCAAGAGAACCTTTTATCCAAATGATATTACAGGTTCAAATGGGTTAAAGAAACTTCCTATAAATCTACAATATTTCCTTCCAAATTGCACAAGAACGTCCCCTTTGTGAATTTTAGTGCAGGAGTTTTGAAGACTAGCCATTGTGCACTATTCTATATTTAATGCATGTTTTGAAGGGATTCACTTTTCTTCAACTTTATATGACAGTTGATCAGGAATAGTATTATTTCCCCTCCCCTCCTTTTTCATTTAAACTTGAAACTGTGAATAAGGTAAAAAACAAAACAAAACTATTTTGAATAAACTATTTATTTAAAATATCTTATTTTCCATTTTTTCATTCCTCACATTAAATTGTGATTTGAACTCAGTTTAATAATTACAAAATAAAGATCATAACATTAAAAGTAAAACTTTGCCATCCACTCAGTTTTCACTGGAATATTTCACTTACTCCTTG